TGAGCCTATCTTCTGGAGTGTTGGCTATTCCTGCCAGCTTGGTGTTATCTGCAAATTTGATGAGCTCCCCATTTATTCCCTTATCTAAATCATTGACAACAATTTTGGACTTGTCTGCATCAAATTGTAGTGCCCTATACCATTTAAGAAGATGTTGGATAGCCATCTGTCTGAAATGGTATAGGGTTTCCTGCCTAGGCAGGGGGTTGGACTAGAAGACCTCCAAGGTCCCTTCAAACTCTGCTATTGTATTGTATTGTATAGATGTCCCAGACAAGTCATGGAAAAGCATATTTTATGAATTTGTTTTAGAGCAGGGTTGTCAAACTCAAGACTTGGGGACCGGATCCAGTCCGCAGGGTACTTAGATCTGGAAATAGTGAAACAATGGCCCGCAGTACTTTTGCCAGTGAAAATGGAGTTTGGGAGGATCACGTGCTGCCCTCCCAAGCTCCATTTTCGCTGGTAGAGGGTTGCAGGAGGCTGTGGCAGCCGAAAATGGAGCTCAGGAGCCTGTGTTTGCTGGCAGAGTGCTTGGTCTGTGCCACAGGCGCTCCCAAAGAGTGACATCGAGCTGGCCACGCCCACCCTGGCCATCCCTCACCCGCGAGGTCAAGCACAACCCTGGTGTGGCCCTCAATGAAATTGAGTTTGACACCCCTGTCTTAGAGGATACTTTTCCTTGAGGAACTCAAAGTGGCGTATATAATAATTCCTCCTTGGCTTCGATTCTCATAAAGATTCTCTGAGGTAGGCTGGGTTGAGAGATATGATTGGCCCTAAATCACCCAGTGAGTTTCCATGGGTGGATTTGAACCTCAGTCTTCCTGGTCCTATTTCCCAATGCTTCACGCAGAGAACTCCCAAGAATCAGATAACAATAAATCAGGAACATTTGGACAAGAGACTCCTTAAAGCACTTAATCTTTCTTTTAAATAGCCTCACTAATGAAATGTTATATGTGAGGTACAGGTGATGCTGCTTCCTGCCTTCTGTAATCTTCCATGCTTCCCACCAGTCTTATATTTTTCTTACTCTAAAAATCTGGTTGAGGACGGCAGCAACAACATTATTATTATTCCAGTCCAGCAGGCCTCATGTTGTGATTTGATGAAGCAAAAACTTTACTGTTTCTCTCAACTATTACAATCCCCGATTGCCTCTTTCAAGCTTGCCCCAAAGGTGCTTTTTCCAAGACAATTGGACTTCCTTGGGTTTTTATTTTCCTTTGAAAACATTTCACTTCTCACCCAAGAAGCTTCTTCAGTTCTAACTGAAAAGCAGTTCTAAGAGAACTGAAGAAGCTCCTTAGATGAGAAGTGAAATGTTTTCAAAGGGGGGAAAAAACCCGAGAAAGTCCAGTTGCTTTTTGGGAAAAAGCACCTTTGGGACAAAACCATGGCCTGAATGATTGAGAAATCGCCATAGACTCAAATTTGTGCTTTGACCATCTCTCTACACAGGGACCATCTGTGTTCTGCTCTCCTTCCCCTTCATCTTCAGCCCATGCATCGGCTGCACGGAGAACACACCCGAGTGGGCTGCGCTCATCTACTTCATCCCATTTATTATCATCTTCCAGTTTGGCTGGGCAGCCACCCAAATCTCTCACCTCTCGCTCATACCAGAGTTGGTCACTACCGACCATGAGAAGGTGGAGCTCACAGCTTTCAGGTAAGATCTGACAGCAAAGCGGATCATCCTCTCAAGCCTTGTGGGGACCATTTGGCCAACATGTCTGGCTTGCTGTGGCCCATCCCACTGACATCCACACCAAGAAATTCCCTGTCGAGTAGTGAGCACAGTGCAGAACGCCCAAGAGCATTGCCGATGTGTGAACAACAGTTTGGTCTAGCGGTTAAGGCACCGGGCTAGAAACCAAGGCGCTGTGAGTTCTAGTTCTAGTTCTGCCTTAAACATGAAGTCATCCTGGACCAGGGGTCTCCAACCTTGGCAACTTTAGGACTTGTGGACTTCAACTCCCAGAATTCCTCAGCCAGCTTTTCTTCACCGGCCAGCGCCCGCCTCACCTGCCCCTTCTCGGGTGGTTCCAGGTAGCAGAGATCATTTTGGGTGGCAGCGCAGCGATCTTAGGAGCCAAAGGCTTTAAATCAAGCTTGATTGTACCTCATTCCGTGTTTTTAACTTCCTAACCTAGCGTCCCAAAAAAAAGGCTTTGTGGAGAGGAGATTGGTACTCTTCCCTTCCTCCACCCCTACCCCCCCGCAATCCGCTTGGATCTGTTATGCAGCAAAGAGATACGGTAGCTGGGCGCAAAAGCAGCAATAGCAAAAAGCACTGCATGACAAATTCAGGTGGATTGAAGGCGGGGTGGAGGAAGGGAAGAGGACCAATCTCCTCTCCACGAAGACTTTTCTCAGGATGCTAGATCTGCACTGCACTTTCTCTCCGGAAAAAGTTATTGGCATCGTCGGGATCTTGGCTAGTGGAAGAAGCACAGGATGGAAAGAAAACTTCGGAATGCGGGAGGGCCGGGTCAGGAGTCTCCCTGGAGCCTGGCACCTGCTTTTGCCCCGAGACTAAAGAAGCGAGGTTGCAAAGAGGGCTGTGAACAAGCCCGGTTGTTCAAGGAGGCAGCCTTGCCAGATCATTTTCTTTGGGCTTCCCTTTCGCCGCTCAGGAGCCACCGCGAGGAACCTTTAATCCAAATGGAAGGGATCCTCACCCCTCCTTGCCCAATGGGCTGTTCCCGGTCGAGCGCAGCAGAGGCCGTTCAGCAGCCCCGCATATCTTCCCCTCCTCACTGAAGAGAAGAAGCAAGCCGACTGCCGCTCCTTGGGCCAAGCAGCTCCGCATTTCCGCCGGTCTGAGGGAAAGGGGGGAAAAAATAAAGGGGTAGAGAAAAGCGGATTTGAGATCGATAAAAGCCTTACCCTTTAGGAAGACTGAGCCCCCACGCGTCATGTTTTTGCCCTCCCTGGCCCCCAGAAGCACTTTGCAGGCTTCACAGAAAATGGGGTGTGCAGAGGGAGGCCTGCAGATTGTTCCTGGGGGCCGGGGAGGGCAGAAACTTTTTCTAAAAATTTGCCTCTTCAAAATTTTGGTGCATCTTATACTCCAGTGCGTCTTATATTCTGAAAAATACAGTAGTTAATTTTTAATAAATTAAAATTAACATTGAATACTGTGACTTGCAACCTCCGTTGCCCTCTGTTGGAGGACGCTACAAGTGTCATAAGTGCGAACCACTTGCCAAACACCTGGGGCCCCAATGACGTGACCACACAGATGCTGCAGTGGTTTTAAGAGCTGGTCATTAATCACATTTTTCAGTACCATCATAATTTCAGATAGTTGTTAAACAAGTAGTCATTACTTGAGGACTGTAGGAGTGATTGTGAAATGTCCTAAATGAGTCTTTCTTTTGAGTTCCTTAATTGAAAAAAAAGAAAGTCAAAATAGCAATAGCCCTTAGACTTATATACCGCTCCACAGTGCTTTACAGCCGTCTCTAAGCGGTTTACAGAGTCAGCTTATTGGCCCCAACAATCTGGGTCCTCATTTTACCCATCTTGGAAGGATGGAAAGCTGAGTCAACCTTGAGCCTGGTGAGATTCGAACTGCCAAACTGCAGGCAGCCGGTGATCAGCAGAAGTCGCCTGCAGTACTGCACTCTAACCATGCACCACCACGGCTCAATGGAGTGAATCTGCTGGCTGGGTAAAAGCAGGAACCCAGCAAATGACATTTTTTGCAAGCCAAATTGCGCAACTGGCAGTTTTTTCCTTGGAGGATCATCCCCAGACCTTCTATGCCCAGATGGTGGGAAACTTGAATTTCCAGGGTGGGGCCTGGTATTAGATGGGCACTGATATGAAGCCGTCCTCTTTTTCCAGTTGTACTCTATGCTTAATAAACTCCGCCTGGTCTTCTTCCTGTTTTCAGGTATGCCTTCACTGTCATGGCCAACATCACGGTGTATGGAGTTGCATGGTTCCTCCTGCACTTCCAGGTCGATCCCACAGAGACAAAGAAACTCACCCAGCACCTCGGGCGCCACGACATTCCTGTCTTTCGGGTGGGTATTTGGCAAGTGGCAGAGAGGAGGTGCAAGACTGGACCTCTGTTCCTTGTTCTGTCAGTGGTTTGCTGGTTTACTGCTTGAATCGTTGAAAATCGTGGGCGAGTTCCTTTTTCCACTCCTCTTCACAAAAGATCCACTTCAGAAGTGGCATTCTAGCGGTTTGGAACAATTCACCTGAACCGGTAGCGGAAATCACAGTGGCCCTGCCCACTCGCCCGGGTTCTATGGCATCCCATTTTAGCAGGGGTGAAATGCTACCAGTTCGGGCCGGTTCGCATTTGCAGCATGCTAAAAAAAGAAGGGAGAAAGAAGGAAGGAAGGAAGGAAGGAAGGAAGGAAGGAAGGAAGGAAGGAAGGAAGGAAGGACGGACTACAAACCTGGCACTAGATGCAGCTTCAGAGGATAATCCAGGGCAGGAAGGGAGCTGGAGGTCATCTAGTCCAACCCTGCTCCAGCAGGATATTGTTAAAGTGAGTTTCTGTCTTTTGACAGTCATATCACCCCACCACTAAGCCACGCTCACACGACCAGTAGTAAAAAAAAATTAGATTTTACCACTGCCACTCAGGCCCCTTTTTTGCCAAAAGTGCATGCGCGGAAGGCTGAGTGCATGTGCGGAGGAGGCACGGGCGCTCACATTTGCGAACTGGTTCAGAAGGTAAGTGAATACCACTCCTGATCCACTTCCAAGATTTAGTCTTGCAGTCCTAACCTTTCTCTTTTATTTTGCCTCTGTTTCCCCCCCTCTAGAACCTGTCCCTGATTGTGGTAGGATGTGGTTCCGTTTTTTCGCTCCTCTTCCATCTTGGGACTAAAGAAAAGACGCGGACAGTTTCCAGATTGCCTGATCCAGATGAGCATAGTCCCCTATTACCTCTGGAGCAAAAACAGCCCATTCGTTCCATTGTGCTTTGGAAACACTGGTTTCTGGAACCTGCTTTTTACCAGGTGAGTCTGGAAGGAAGAAGACCACACCTTCTCTCACCATTATAGTTCACTAGCTGATAGCCTGACATTGCCCAGGTATTTATTTATAGGGGGAAAATGTGTGGGCCAAACGTAATTTCTAATGTTGGATTTCCCCCCGTACCAGAAGGAGCCCCCTTGTGGAGTACTGTGAGGCCGTTACATGGCAACTTTACTGCACTGTACAGTAGAAGCAATTTTACAGTAGTACAGTACAGGCCATTTAAAGGCACAACAGGATGCATTTTAACAGAACACACACACCAAGGGGTGTTAGGGGTATCTTACCCCCACAGTATTTTTCTCCAGAGAGTAAGTCATCTATGTACCAAGTTGGGTTGAAATTGCTCGAGGCGTTCCAGAGTTATGCTGGAACACACACACACACACACACACACAC